AAAAGCGTATTAAACCTCTCTGTAAATGTGCTACTAAAATCCAGCATGTTTATATTTAAATCGCCCGCGCAATACAAATAGTCAGTAATACCCTGTAAGCAGCGTAGTGTATTTGACATTTATAAAAATATTATGAAATGATTGTTGACAATTTTGAATTGTCAGTTTCAACAACATGTTTACTCATCTGGAATAAGTGTTTTGAAATGTAAAAACATAACAATTAATTATCAAGTGAAGATATTGGGACTGCAACCAATTTTGGGGGAAATTAAAAAACCTCCTTTAATCAATCCAAGCTTTCGATTGTAATTTCAATCATCATCAGGTAGTACTCCCTGATGATGATTGAAATTACAATCGAAAGCTTGGATTGATTAAAGGAGGTTTTTTAATTTCCCCCAAAATTGGTTGCAGTCCCAATATCTTCACTTGATTCCTAACGTAGTACAACCAGTACTTCCACCCACATAACAATTAATGTTTATAATAAATAGTATTGTTTCTCTGTAAGTAGATAGCACTTTTTCTTTTGTGTTGTTGCTCGTTTCAATAAATTAAGTCTGTTCTGATTAGGTTCTGATTAATGAACTTCATTACATAACTCAAATCACCTCAAATAAGTGCGGTAATGATGACTTATCCAAGCAGTCGTAGATAATAGTATATTAAAAAACAAGTTTCGTAAGACACGCTTGAAATTAGTGATGTAACGGATATCCGCACGCAACTGCGGATAATCGGCATTGTTTTGAGAATCCGCATCTGCATCCGCATCCGCATATATTTTAACTGAGCTCCGTTACAATAAATAATTACTAATTACCAATTAATAATTTACTAATTACTATTAATTACAATAGAAATATTATTTTCATGAAAATTTTAGTACGTAACTTTTTTCAAAAACTCCGCATCCGCTTACGCATCCGCATCCGCAAAATTAGAATTAGAAAATCCGACTCCATATCCGCACCGCTAAACTCACATCCATAACATCACTCCTTGAAATGCACGAATTCAAGTTGAAAAACGAGTGGCGAAGCCACGAGTTTTTTAATAAATGAGTTTTTCGAATTTTGACAATGTAGGGAAATAGGTATGTAGCAGTTGGTAACACCGGAACACTTGAAAATAGAAACTTTGAATTGATAATTAGAATCTGTCAAAACACAAAATATATTCACCTGAAAAAAATGTTTGATGTACACCTCCCAAAATAAGAGAAATTGCTCAGAGTCAATGTCCTCATCATTGTGGACCTTGTATTCGATGCTAAGAACATGTTTAAACATCCATAGACAAACATTGTCACATTAACAACTAGAAAAATTAATGACCCAATGTCACCAACTTGAACTGGTTCCATAAAATGTTATTAAAATCTCATTACAGCATCGGATGCTGTAAGGAGTCTCATTACAGCACCCGTTTGAGTACTGTTATAGCTTCCATTACCGTAGCGAATTACAAAAAGTACTTTGTCTGCCGCTAAATACACAGTTTACTAGATAGTGGCACAAAGTGTCACTTTACTGCCGCAAATGGATAGAATAAAGTATAGTTTTGCTGCCGCTTGGCGATAAAATATTTTATCTACAACTATTGAATTATCTATTCGTTATACACTTGATTTTTGACGGGTAATGACTCGCATTACGCATGACTGACAAAGTGTTGAATAATGACGCCATTATTCCACAGTTCTGACACGACCTACTAATCAAAAAATAAAAAATTAATAGAAATGACAGCTTTCTTATATTGAGGTTATGTCTGAAATGTCTACCAAGTTTATTTTTTTTCCTTTTTTTGATTTTTTTCAAAATTAAATAGTTGTAGATAAAGTATAGTATTCAACTTGCGTATAATGGATATTACCCACTCAGATTACTCATATACTCATTACTTACACTCATTTGAGGTGATTTGAGTTACGTAATGAAGTTCATTACCGCACTGGTTTCATTACGTAAAGCATTTTTAGTCTAATCAGAACAGACTTAGTTTATTGAAACGAGCAACAACACAAAAGAAACAGTGCTATCTACTTACAGAGAAACAATACTATTTATTATAAACATTAATTGTTATGTTTTTACATTTCAAAACACTTATTCCAGAAGAGTAAACATGTTGTTGAAACTGACAATTCAAAATTGTCAACAATCATTTCAAAATATTTTTATAAATGTCAAATAGATTTTTCTAAAGAAATTGATATTTTAGTAATTTTTAGCAGTCGTAGATAAAATGCTGTATATCACACGTGGGCTAGAGCACAATTACAGTACTCGTGTGATTACACGAGTACATTACTTCTATAGTTAGAATATAAAGTTCGTGCGATTTAGTGGTTTGAACATATCCGACGCATAATTTATGCTGAGATAAGTTTGAAAAATCACTAATTAATTTTTTTTTGCGTCTTTGTAACTCGATCCGGGGACATACTGTATGTCGATTATTTCAAAAATTTATTTCTCAAAAACTAAAAGAGATTTTTCAAAACGGTTTGTTGCATTAAAAAGAGAATACTTTCTTCAAGAAATTAATTTTATAGCGAATTTTGAAAATTATCGATGTAAATTGCAACATCGAAAATTTCATCAAAACTTCAAATATTGTTTTCTCAAAAACTAAGTTATTTTTCAAAACGGGTTGGTTCATTGGAAAGAGGACACTTTTATTAATACTTTGGAAAAATTTTATACTCATATTTATTAAAATTATGCGTGATATGTTTTAACAGTTTAACAAACCTTTTTATTATCTTTATATATTGACAATTAATAATAACAACATTCACTTGTTTTATATTATATATAACTACTCATAAAACATTATTGCACTCTTGATTGCTTTATGATTAAATATAACATTTCAACACTCCCCCTCAAGCCAATCATAGTTATAAAACTTTTCTAATTTTGGTAACGTCTTTGTTAGCACGTCGGCAATCATTTCTTCTGTTTGACAATATTTTAAATTGATGACGTTATCTTCCAAAGCTTTTCTTATGAAATGATATTATATGTCTATGTGTTTGGTCATACTATGATAAACGTTGTTTTTTGCCAACTTTTGACAACTTTGATTATCATTGTAAAGGACGATTGGTTTTTTTGAATTGAATTTTAATTCCGATAAGAATTTTTTCTCATACAGTGCTTCTTTAGCTGCTTCAGTAAGGCTCACGTATTCGGCTTCTGTGCTTGATAAAGCAACGGTCCTTTGTTTTTTAGTTTCCCACGATATTGCTGCGTTTGCCATTTTAAACAGATAACCATTATAGGAGCACCGATCATCTATAGATGATCGCCAATCTGCATCTGTATAACATTCCATTTCTTTCCCTGAAGATCTATAAGTTAGTTCCAAATTTGTTGTTCCTTTTAAAAATCTTAACACTCTTTTTGCGGCAATCCAATGACTCTCGTTGTAATTTGTGTTAAATTGACTTAAGAAGTTAACGCTAAATGTAATATCTGGTCTTGTACCAATTGATGCATACATTAAACTTCCGATCAGACTTTGATATGGATACTTTTTCATTATTTCTTCGTTTTTTACTTCAGGTTTTTGTAATTTTGCATTTGGGTCCATTGGTGTACTGACTGGTTTTGAGTTTTCCATACCAAATCGCTGTAGAATATTTTGATCGTTGTCTCCTACTGTTTTATACCTAGGCCCATAACCTATTAAAATTATGCGTGATATGTTTTAACAGTTTAACAAACCTTTCTATTTATCTTTATATATCGACAATTAATAATAACAACATTCACTTGTTTTATATTATATATAACTACTCATAAAACATTAATGCACTCTTGACTGGGATTGCTTTGTGATGAAATATAACATTTCAACAATATTTCAAGAAATGCATTTTATACGAATTTTTAAAACTTAATCGGCGAAAATTGCAAAATTGGAAAAAATTGTCGATTATTTCAAAAATTTATTTCTCAAGAACTAAAAGTGATTTTTCAAAACGGCTTGTTGCATTAAAGAGAGGATACTTTAATTAATAATCGAAAGTGATAACAGTGACAGTTCTGTTAGTAATGAATGTGATGATGAATTACAAGCGAAGAGTAAGAAACTAAACGAAACTGCAACAAGAGATTTTATATATCGTATTGGGATTGTTACAATGAGGTTGCTAATATTGGGGTTGAACTTTATTATCTGCAGTGTCCAACGCCAAAAGAGATAACTAATTCCTGTGAATGGTGGAGTACTAAATAATAGGTTTTGGTTACTATCCGGTATCCGGCCGGATTTTAAAAAATGGCCGGATACCGGATAGTTGCCGGATAGCCGTTCCTCCACTACTGTATACATATTTTTTATTCATGAGATAGTCTAAGCATATACAACACGTCAATCGAAAATACTCGAATCTCGACGTATTGCCTAAAAAACACCACTCGACCTTCGGCCTCGTGGTGTGTCAGGCAATACGTCTCGTATTATCGAGTATTTTCGATTGTCTTGTTGTATAACGTACGATTATAATCGGTAACCAACATGAAATTAGTTAAATTAAATGACATCCAAATGGAGCGTCTCTTAAGACTGCTAAACGCGAATGTTTTTAGTTCTAGGTCTAGTGTTAGTTCCACTTCTAGTTCAATAAGAATATACAACAATCTAACGCTGAATAGCAACTAAAACTAGAACTAACACTAGCATAAGAACTAACACTAGACCTAGAACTAGAAACGTTCGCGTTTAGCCGTTTAAAGAGACGTACAGCTAAACCTAAATGTTTCTAGTTCTAGGTCTTAGTTTTACTTAAATGAAAAATATACAACAATCTAACGCTGAAAACAATTATAACTAGCGCTACCGACTTTGATTTATACATCGTAAAGATAACTCGGGAAATACCCGTGAGGATAATGTTAATAGTATGACTTAAAAATATTTTGTCCGCTCTAACGAAGTCCGTGATATCGAGGTTTTACTGTATATGTAATTTTCTTTTTTAGTTCTGTGGATTTCGTGTTCATAATGGGTTATGATATAACCCCAATAAATTCACCAGTAACCGGATTAATATCACCAATGAGCGAAATTGTAATATTTTAACACCCTTATTATTTAAAATTTTAATAATTAATTTTTTAGAGTAAAATTGTTGATTATTGGACATTAAATGTACCGAGTGAAAAAATTATTCTTGGTGTCCCAGCTTATGCAAGAACTTTCGCCTTAGAAAATAACGAAAACTTCGGTTTAAATGCTCCAACGAATGGAACCGGACACGCGGGGCTTTATACAAAAGAAAATGGATTTTTAAGTTATTACGAAGTATTCTAAGATAATTTTAAAAATGATTTATATTAAAACAAAATTATTATTATAGACAATAATGGAACTTAAATTTTCGGAGTATACAGTTGTTTCGGTTGAAGGCGAAGAAAATTATTACGCTTATTACAACGATCAATGGATTACTTATGAAACCGATCAAAATTACGAGGCTAAAGCAAAATATGCGATTGAAAAGAAACTCGGGGGAATGATGGTTTGGTCTATAGACACCGATGATTTCGCTGCTTATTTTAATACAACCAACTTCCCAATTGTTAACACTATCAAAAATGTTTTAAATAATAATTAAAAACAACAGGAATTATTAAAACATTTTTATGCATTTATACTTATTTTGTTTATTATTAACTTCCTTTTAACTATCAATTTTCTTTTCATTTTCACTTAAACAACATCCTCATCTTTTTATTCTTGATCAAGACGAAAAAAGAAAAACTTAAAATGATTAATGGATTTTGAGAGGCGGGCCCCCCAACGGCGGCGGCAACGACTTGCAGAGACTTCTTCAACATCCTCTCAAGAGGGTTTTCAGTGGGCAGCGAAGCCTCGAACGCGGCGGACACAGGAAGATCATGCTGGTCCCGTCGGTCGCGGTGGTGGTGGTGCTCTTCCTCTTAGCCCTGCACCGGCTCGCGACTTTCCGACGAAAAATTCAAGGCGCACCCCCGGGACCTAAACCTTGGCCACTCTTCGGAAGCGTACATCTTTTAGCCCGCCACGAGACTCCACTACGTGCCTTCGCCGCCCTCGCAGAAATCTACGGAGCCGTCTTCAGCATCCGTTTGGGGTCGTCAAATTGCGTCGTGGTTAACGATTTGAGACATATCAAGGAAGTACTTGTCGCCAAGGGGGCCAATTTTGGTGGTAGACCCGATTTTTTAAGATTTCACAAGCTTTTTGGTGGAGATAGAAATAATTGTAAGTAAAAAATGTTAATTAATTATTTATATTTATATATGTACATATTTTAATTATAACTTCCGGGGAGAAAATAAAAAAATTTAGGACTTATTTGAAGATGAAAATTGTTTGAAGGAACTTTGTTATGATGTCTTTAGCTTCTTCTTTTAAAAAAATTAAATAAAGGTCTAAGAACAGGTGTTGTTAGGTCCACTCTAGCGTACTACGACCACGCGCACCCGGCGAGTGATGAATGGGCGAGCACGTGCACCTGCTGCAATCACGGTCCACTCACCACCAACCAAGGACATTTTAACTTAAAGACAAAATTTTAAAAAAATGTTTCATGCATTCAACATAAACCATAAATCATCAGATTTATCCAAAAAAAATCAATAAAAATCAACGATATTGTTTAAAATTATTTTTTAACTTTTAACTGTCAAAATTTGACAAGAATTGTCACTTATTTGGATAATGTCAATTAATATATGTAACTAATTTCATGTTGGTGTCGATTATATCGATTTTTTTTATTAATTACAAAAAGAATTTCTTTAAGAGGGTTTTTTTAATCATAAAAACGTTTAACAAAAAAAATTGTTAAACTTGATTGAATTTAACCACAAAATACAGAAAAGAATTATTTTATTTTAGTACTAATTGGTTGTTAAGAGATGTCACTAAAAATGACATTTATTTTTAGACTTAAAATTAAATTAATGGTTTAAAGTTAAACAAACAAATAACTCCAGTTATTTTAATTGAACCAGCACGTTTAAGAATATTTTACTAAATTAATCTAAAATCGTTTACTTACCATTTAAATTATTTGAATTCGATGATGAATCATCTTCATGTATGTTGCAATTAAAAATTGAATTTGTATAAACAAGTAATTCCATAAATCCATTAAAACGGGATGTTGTGATGCGTTTTATGAAGATTTTAACACTTTTTTTAAAAGAAAATTATAATTTTTTGAAGGGATGATAATCATGTGGTTAATGACAGATTTAAACTGACACAATTAATGATAAGAGATGTCGCTACATAAACAACGTCATTTAAACAAACATTTAAATAAAATTTATATTTAAACTGCAGATATCTCAAGATATTTTAAGATTTAATTCCGAAAATGTGGTATTAAATTAATCTAATATTGTTTACTAAGCTAAGAAATTATTTGAGTTCGGTGATGAATTTTCATCTTGATGCAGGTTATAATTAAAAGATGAATTTATTGACGAGAAATACCATAAATCAATTCAAATGACAAATATGACAAGTTTTCTGCAGATTTTATGACTTTTTCTAAAAAAAAAATATTACTTTTTTAGAGAAATAAAATTTAGATTTTAATTAGTGATAATAGATGTCGCTATATAACATTCATCAGCGAAGAATTCAAACTTTAAATTCAAATGAACTAATTATACTTTAATAAAACTAAAAATTTGAGTTAATACTCAATTTAACAATTTAATAATTTAATTAATTAATTTTTTTAAACCAATAGGAATATGACATTTAACTGTCAAATATAACCCTTTGTGTCCCAACAAGTCAAACATTTTGAAACTTTGTGACAGAATCAGACAGAATTAAAACGCTATCAAAATACACTCAGTAAAGGCCTTTCGAATAAAATTTTAGCAAAATATGCAATCCCCCCAACAATCCCCCTATTTTCGCATTGTTGGGTTGGATTGGAAAAATATTTTTAAAAAATGTTGAAATAAAACATACATTTTCGTATAACCTAAGAGTGTCAAAAAAGATGCTAATTTAAAAATTCCTGGAAGCCGTATTTATTGAAATTAAGGAATGAGACTTATTCTAAATTAAAGCTCAAAGCTTTCTCTTTAAAATGATGTATAATAATTGTTGGGTTGGATTGGAAAAATATAGAGAAAAAAAATTTTGAAACAAAACTTACATTTTCGAATAACCTAAAAATGTTAAAAAGATGCTAATTTAAAAATTCCTGTAAGCCGTATTTATTGAAATTAAGGAATGAAACTTATTTTAAATTAAAGCTCAAAGCTTTCTCTTTAAAATGATGTATAATAATTGTTGGGTTGGATTGGAAAAATATTAAGAAAAAAAATGTTGAAACAACACTTACATTTAAAAGAGTCAAAAAAGATGCTAATTTAAAAATTCTTGGAAGCCATGTTTATTGAAATTAAGGAATGAGACGTATTTTAAATTAAAGCTCAATGTTTTCTTTTTAAAGTGATCTGTAATAATCACAGCTAATAGCCATTTATCAAAGAAATACCTTTTTGAACAACAAAATTCAACAGCACCACTTTTCACTAAACTTCTAACCTCACATCTGGATGAATAAGTTTATGATTGCGACGTTTTTCATACAGATTCTTTCTTGAAATACATTATTTTATAGTTACTTTGGGTGTTTTTGTACAAAAAATTATCTTAAACTTTGAAAGTTAAAAGTATAAAGGTGAGAGTTTTTATTGAAAGTTTTTGATTTCGTACAGTTTTTGATGTTAGAACTAGAAACATTCTGGTTTAGCCCTGCATCTCTTAAGACGGCTAATCCCGACTATTTCTACTTCTAGGTCTAGTGTTATTTCTACTTTTAGTTCAATAAAAGTATATAGCAATCTAGCACTGAATTACAACTAAAACTAGAACTGACACTAGACCTAGAACTAGATTAGAAGCGATTAAGTTACGTTCAAATGAAAGCCCATTCTTTATAGAATATTTATGGTGAATTTCATTTCTTCAATATTTACATCACCACAGAGATGATTTTTAAATAAAGGCAACTCAATCTGGTTTTGTTAAGATTGTTAAAATCAACTAATTTTTAAAAGTTGATAACTTCCTTTCTAATTAAGATGGAATAATCAATTTAGGGAAAGGTCATTCTTTATAGAATATTTATAGTGAATTTCATTTCTTCAATATTTGTAACACAAAAGTTATGATCATTTAAATAAACCGTATCCAACTTTGTTAAGATTGTCAAAATCAACCAGTTTCTAGTTATAGGTCTAGTGTTAATTCTAGTTTCTGTTTTAGAAGTAACACTAAACCTGGAACTAGAAACATTCGGGTTTAGCCGTCTTAAGAGACGCAGGTCTAAACACGATTGTTTCTAGTTCTAGGGTTAGTTCTAGTTTTAGAATTAGTGGAGATAATAAGTGAGCCTTGGGTAAGTGGGAAATCTCTATAACCAGGATCTAATTCCTATCCCGAGTGTCCATTCTCCATTCTAGCCTCTATAAGTAGGAATTGTTCCACTTTAATAACGTTTTTACCTCTGCAAATCCGACGAAGGCGCCAACCTTAGTAGGTTTAAACAGGTTGTTCTTATTCTACAAAGAGTCCAACTGAGTGATCATGTCAAATAAACGTGAGTACTACTTTAAGAAGCTTAAACGTTAGTGATAAAATAAAAATAGTTAATGTATATAAGTCGGGAAAGTATAGGAGTGAATTAAATTAAAGAATTTGGGGTACCACGATCAACACTTGGACGAATTTGGATGCAAATAAATGTTTAGATGAATCATTCAAAGGACTTAGGATTTAGGATTGGTTATTGGATTTAGACAGGAAAATCAGTTACCAAAAAAGAATATTCCTAAATTAAAGAGCATCAAAGTTTCGTTTCTTCCTACTAACACAAAACAGTAAATTACAATCACTGGAACAAGGTATTATCCAAAATTTTAAAGTTTTTTATCGTCAAATTGTTATGAAACACATACTAAAATGTATGGAAGAAGAAAATCCACGGGAAATAAATGTATTGCAAGCTATGCGTTTTGCTAGAAAGGCTTGGTTTAAAGTAACCGAGAAAACGATTGCTAATTGTTTCAAAAAAGCTGGATTTCAAAAAAAAAAACGGTTAGATGAAGAAATGGATGTTGATGAATGTCATGAAGATCAAGAACAACCAGCGATAGAATGCGAACATTGGATGACTGTTACTGAAAGATGCGAAGATCAAATTATCTTAATTTATCTTTTCAATCATTTATCGTAATGAAAACTTGGAGCAAGATGAACAAGATCTTGAAGAACCAAAAGTACAAAATCCTGTAATAATCAGAGTGGAAGCACGAAAAGCTGTTGAAGTTTATGTACAAGTGCCGCCATCCTTGGTATCAATGGTAAATAGAGTAAGAAAGAAGTAGTTTTAAGTCGGTAAAAAGGAGTAGTAAAAAATGAATAAAAAAGTAGAAGAAGTGAATGTAAGACTGTGTTAAAGTTAAGAAGATAATAATAAAATACTCAAAAGAACAATTCCCTGTTTTTGCTAACCACGTTCTACGGACACAAAACTACAGGTTATGGGCCCAGGTCCCGCATTTTAAGTACAAGACTTGGATTGATCTTTTGAGGTTAAAAGTTGCGTAAGTGGCGCGTAAAATAATAAAAAGG